TATACGTATACATATACATATACATATACATATACATATACATATACATATACATATTACATATACATATACATATACATATACATATACATATACATAAATATATAAATATATATATATATTTATTTATTTATTTATATTTATGCTTATAAATTTATAGACATTCTAATATGAGTGCTCGCTCCTCCTGTAACCCAGCTCGACACGAATAGACATCCTTGCAGGAGCCAGCTGCAGCTGCCCTCTTTGGAACGACTGTCTCCTTTACAAGTTGTCAGAGGCTTTGAGCATGTCTTGGATTCTGCATCCTACCCATGCCGTTCTTTAGGCGGCACTTGATCCTATCCATGGCGCGCGAGTGATATGTATGAAGGAACGGAAGCCTATGACCGTTGAATTCCTTGGAAAGGGTGCTTCAACTGGTCACTGTATTCCTGAGAATGGCGAGCCCTGCTGCCTGCATTGGTTCTACCTCAACCTGACCATCCGAAGTCCTAATCGCTCTGAAGCCAGACTAAAGACTCGAGTCTTACCAAGCCTGGCAAGGACATGACAGCATGCAAAGCACACTCGGCTAAGGGGACCTGCTGCGAAGCCCGGGCGAGCTGCTTCTGAGCCCATGTTGCCAGCTCGTAGGCCTTCGGTTTCTGGGCTCGTAGGTCTTCACTCTCAGATGCTGCCATGGCTCCAGCAAGAGCCGTGCTCCGCGCCATGAAGGTTCTTGCGGTCTATACAAAGCGTTTCGGGGGCAGGATATCGACTGGGGAGCTCAGCCACCCAAGATACGAGGAATCTACGGTACCCTCATTGTAACCCCTCATCGCAACCCTCGTATTAAACCCTTATGGCAACTGTGTAGCCTTCTTGTAGTAACTTTGCTGCTATTTTCTTTGCCAGAATTTCTTATACTAACTATGTCAATGTTGCTAAAACGTTTTACAAGCGAGCACACCCTTGCAGCCGAAAACTCCTGGGCTGAGCTCAAGCTGAACACTTCTTAATCCATTAGGGTTTTGGCCTTGGGGTCCTAGGGGTTAGCGTTTTTCATTTAGGGGCTCCGTGCATCCTCTTGGCTTCATGATTCGTAGGCGGTTACTGGGTTTGAGTACACTTACCATTGTGATCGTTACATTCCGCTGCGGTTGTCTCACGCACTGCCTTCCAACCGACTGCTGTGCTCTGACCGGCTTGCGCCAGCCTGCCAAGGTCTGAAGCCTCAACTCCTCAACGCATAAGATCTTGCAAAATTGAGGCCACGACCTCAACTTGCCATTCCTATGACCTTCTGCTACAGGCTTGCTTGTCCCGCTTGCAACCCGCAAGCCAGGGCCTGCGACCCTTTGTACACCACCTCCTTGTTTCAACTCAAAGGACTGCCAGCCTCCAGCTCCCAAGGCTTAGGCCAAAAAAACTAGAGAAGTGTTGCTACGACCCTCAGATGTAAAATCTCCTCAAGCCTTCAAGGCCAAATTCGAACGGCCGAAACAGATGTAGGGCGACAGCCTTCATACCTAAAACCGGCAGCCCGAGAGAGCCTCTTGCACCTGCTCTGCGGCTTTGAGGCCAGCTTGTCGCTGGACCTGCATATAATATATATATATATATATGATATGATATATCTGTGTCTTGGGGGTTTGACTCTGACACTGGTGCAGGGCATTCAAGGCTCCACCACGACTGGTTCAGCCAAGTCGACTGCAAGGGCATCGCATGCGCATGATTTTTTGGGGTCCGGGATTCAGGCGATTGAGGGCGTAGGTGTTTTCCTCCTGGACTATCCACCCTTCCGCATAGAATTATCTAGATCTATACGTATTCACTGGCCGCTGGTATAAACAAGTATTCGTGTCCTTTGTGGGTGGAGAAGCACACGTTTTCAATGAAGCAATTGCGGCGCGGTACACACACAGACACCGGCTTGTATGTATGCATGCATGGACGGACGCACGGATGGATGCATGGACGGACGGATGGTTGGTTGGATGCACCTGCATGGTGCGCGCAATGCACAGATGAATAAAGTACATTATGTATGTATGTATGTATGTATGTATGTATGTACGTATGTATGTATGTACATATGTGTGTATATAGATATAGATATAGATATAGATAAAAAGGTACATAATTCATATCTATATACATATATATATATACATATATATATACATATATATATATATACATAAATATATATATATATAATAAAGTACACTATATATATATATGTAATAAATGTTTGTATGTCTATGTGTATATATACATATACATACATATGTATATATAGCGTATGTATATATATATGTGTATGTATGTATGTATGTATGTATGTATGTATGTATGTATGTATGTAAAATATATACGCATCTGACTGGAGAAGCCTCCCCCCAGCCCGGAGCTCCTATTCCCGGCTCGGCCTGAAAGTCCCCATCCCGGATCGCCCTCTGGGCAGCCTCAGCAAAGACGAAGTCTGCGCAGGAGTAGGTAGATGGGGGTTTAGGGGAGAATTGAGCAGTTTAGCTTTAATTACTCGAGAAGAGACTGAGCCGATTGAGACTTCAGGTGCCTTCTACGAGTCCTCAGCCCTCGGCCTCTGGGCATTGCTGCTTTGAATCCCAGGGTCTCTAGGTCGCCTGTGATTTTGGGCCTCGACTCCCGACCACGCCCCCTCCTGGTGCTTCAGACTCGGGCCTCTGCTGGCGGCCAAACCCTGGGAGCCTCTATTTCTCAGCGGCGCGGCTACTGCGGCAAGATGGGAGATTCCTAAATCCCGAAGGTTGGTCTTGAGCTGTCCGTCCCGTAACGCGATTTACCTTCAAATAGTTTGACGAGTGATAGGGACGACGGCAGGCAAGACGGGCGTCATAGCAAACCGCACGCCATTACAGAGAGAGTGTACCGGCATTGACGGCAAGAATCGTAGCAAACAAATATTCTGATCCGTTTCAGAGTGCACCAGCTCCCTTTTTCACTGCCTTGCAGCATCTTGTGGCGATGTTGTCGGCATCCGCCTCTAGTCGGATGTTGTGCTGGCTGTGAGACATTTTCTGACCAGGCTGGCGATTGAAAGCATGTGGCATTCCGAAACATCTCTGCGCCCCAACACATGTTGGGTCGCTCTTGGCATCCCAAAAGCCTGCAGCTACAAGTGCACATCTTCGCGAAAGTTTAAGCAGGACCCCAATCCCAGAACGGCCATCGACAACCTGAGAACCTTGCACGGTGGATGCGAAGGCATGTGCTCCTCATCATTGAAATCTCTGCAGGAGAGCCCTAGCTCTCCCCCTACCAAAACTCATCCTTCCTCTCCGTCGGGCACGTTTGGGGGTTTTGGCTACAGAACAGGACTTTCTGCGTGCTTGGACGGGCGACAACAACAATGCCAGGTTCCGTCTACACCGACGAGAGAATCTTGGAGCAGCACGCTGGCGGCCTCCTCTAGCAGCTCAGACCATCTGCGAGCTGTCACCTGCACAGACTTATGCTCCGTCACACTAACTGGTGATGGACTTCTTCTAGCAAGAAAACGAGGCTTCGTAAATGGAAATCGTGTTACAGCTTTCATGGTAGAACCAGTCGCCCACCACCTAACTGACACAGGGGCCACTTTTTGAAAGGCAGTAGCAAATGAAACAGGACAGAAATGTAAACGCAGAGCGACATGGCGGCGAAGTAAATGAGACCCTGCCTATGATCACTTCCGCATCCCCTCGAATCTTGGAGCGGGCCCAGTAGAAGAGGAAGTCCGAGAGGATCAAGAGGTTCAGCGTCTCTGACACCATTTGAACTCCACGATTGTCTGGGTATCTCCACAGGAAGACGCGCGGGTAGCAAATCCAGAAGCAAAGAGTGAAGAACCGGTTCAACGCTGTGAGCACCACAAAGTAAGATAACAAGGGCGACACCCGCTTGTCTTGATGGAACATCCACAGCTGAGGTATCAGCGCTACTGCTCCCATTGCTTCATAGTAGCAACAGAAGTAACTGACCCAGAAGCCATGCTGAGATCTTCTGACGAAGTACCACATCAACGCCAGCACTGCCACCACTGCATAGAGGAAGCTTGCCGCCACCATGGGGCTTGACTTTAGGGGGCTGTTCTTCGGCAGGAGCTCAAACTTTTCGAAGATGTGGATTCCGAAGTTGTCCTTGTCCTTCTCGTAGCTGGGATAATAGTACAAACAAAAGGACGCAAGCAAAGCGCAGCCTATGCATGCGCTGACTACGTCAAT